GGGGGGGGGGGGGGGGCAATATCAATCGTCACTAAGCAATCTTTGATTGAATCGATTGAGTTTGTTCATATCAATAGTCAATTAAACAGTCTTGAATTAAATCCGCAAAATTCAATTATCAATTAAACGACCTGTAATTAAATTACCTAATTTTAATTATTAATTGAACGATCTTTAATTCCATTCGCTCATACCAATTGCCAAACCAACGGTCTTTAGTTGAATTCTTTGGAATCAGTCGTCAGTCGAACGGTCTTCGATTGAATTTGTTGAAATTGATTGTCAATTAAACGGTCTCCACTCGAGTTGGCTCGTATTAATCCTCGATTGAATACGATAATTAATTGAAAAAGTAATTAATTACTCTCAAGCCTGAGAGGTACGCAGTAAATCCGAAAGACCCGAGAAACCTATCTCATGGTCCTGATCAGGTTAAACCTAATCAGTTATCTGGCTTGTGTGAGGTGATGTTATCGAGTCCTAATGATTAATAAGGCCCTGACTTACGCCACGCTGCGTTACACGACTCATCAGAACCCGCCAGCATCGTCTTGCAGTACAAACCAGACAACTGATTGGGATCAGCCTAATCAGAAGCGTGGGATAAATTTCTAACCGGGGATATCCGTGGCGAACTGGCTCACCGGTCGTCGTAGGGCGAACTCGCATGAATCAACGATCCGCTGTCACTGTCGTGATACGCGATAACGGTGTCGTTGGATCCGCAGCCGTCGGTCGAAACGCTCAGCCGCGGAATCGGCGGTTTCGGCTGGCCGAATCCGATCCACGTGGAAAACGCGAGGCTGAGAACGAAGCCCACGACTGCGCCCTTCTGGTTGCTCGACGGGACGAACATGCCGAGCGTGTACAGACCCAACAGAGGTCCGCCGACGACACCGAAGATCGTCAGAGCCGCCTGCGGCGAGAAAGGGAGAATTTTGTCACCGCGATTCGGCATCGAGGGAGAGATATGCTGATACCTGCAACAGCCCGCCGAGAAATCGCGCCAGAAAAGCAACCATCAGGCATGTCAGTCCGACTATAAGAGCCAGAACTTTGCTCAGTATCACGGACATCCTCGCGGATAGCTCCTTTCTTCTGCAATCGACATGATTTATTATTTGTGTTGCGACAAAAATTTACTAAATTTCAAAAAACGTTCGTTTGAATAGTGAAGATATTTGTTTAAATTAAGTAATTATTTTCTAAAATTAAAAAAAACAAATTTATATTTAAAACTTTTTAATTTAATTTTAGAGAATAATTAATTTAAACAAATATCTTCACACAATACTATTCAAACGGACGTTTTTCGAAATTTAATAAATTTTTTCTCAGTGTATCTCTGGTATCGCAACCGAAAATACATTTGTCTGAACATTTAACTGTATCACAACTTGGTTACAATAGCTAAAAAAACAATTAGAAGAGAGAACGTATTATTTGTGTTGCGACAAAAAGTCTCAGTTCGACTGTGACTCAGTAGGGACCAGACGAAAAAATTAAAAAAATTAAAAAATTAAAAAATTAATTAAAAAATTAAAAAATTTACTAAATTTCAAAAAACGTTCGTTTGAATAGTACTGTGAAGATATTTGTTTAAATTAAGTAATTATTTTCTAAAATTAAAAAAACAAATTTATATTTAAAACTTTTTAATTTAATTTTAGAAAATAATTACTTAATTTAAACAAATATCTTCACAATACTATTCAAACGGACGTATTTTGAAATTTAGTAAATTTTTTCTCAGTGTATCTCTGGTATCGCAACCGAAAATACATTTGTCTGAACATTTAACTGTATCACAACTTGGTTACAATAGCTAAAAAAACAATTAGAAGAGAGAACGTATTATTTGTGTTGCGACAAAAAGTCTCAGTTCGACTGTGACTCAGTAGGGACCAGACGAAAAAATTAAAAAAATTAAAAAATTAAAAAATTAATTAAAAAATTAAAAAATTTACTAAATTTCAAAAAACGTTCGTTTGAATAGTACTGTGAAGATATTTGTTTAAATTAAGTAATTATTTTCTAAAATTAAAAAAACAAATTTATATTTAAAACTTTTTAATTTAATTTTAGAAAATAATTACTTAATTTAAACAAATATCTTCACAATACTATTCAAACGGACGTATTTTGAAATTTAGTAAATTTTTTCTCAGTGTATCTCTGGTATCGCAACCGAAAATACATTTGTCTGAACATTTAACTGTATCACAACTTGGTTACAATAGCTAAAAAAACAATTAGAAGAAAGAACAATCTTCCTGTTTCTATAGAAAAATGCATACTGCATTCGGGTAAATGTTGCTTGTTTTAAATATATCTTAAGTTGATATCTTCGCAAATCTATCATAAACGTTCATTATAAGTATCAAATTTACTGAAAAATTGAAAAGAGTGCAGTTAAATTTCGCCTAATTTTTCTCGGACAAAAGTTTTGACTCCATTTGCACTTAAATTAAAGCTTTTGATACGTAGATTCCTAATATGTAAGTGTCAAGATCGACGAAGCTACTATTCCGGAAAAAATAGCTCATCTAAAATTCCATTTTACCAGATGGCGCCATCTAGTGACGATTGCACTTTAAATGGATCATTTTCTTTGGAACGGTAGCTCCGTACACATAGCCACTCATATATTCGTAATCAGCGCGTCAAAAGCTTCAATTTAAGTCGAAGATGGCTCCATAATTTCTGTCCGGAAAGAATTGGGTGGCATGCCTACGGGCATTTGGCCTCACTCTTTATTTATGGGACATAAAGTTGATTTGCTGAAATAAACTTTACATTGCAAATAAATTTTTAAGTACTTTTTCAGTGTATTATCAAGAAAATATTGCTTATCGAAGATAATCATTACTTACAAGAAGAAAAGTAAACTGAATAATTGCTTTTCTTAGCAGAGGAATAATATTTTTTTGCGTGTTAAACCGAGTTCTTCATCTGGTCTCTATTCTTACTAGACAATGGAAAATTCACTAACAGAATTGTTTCTTCCGTGCAGGTCAGCATACAGAAAAAATGTTAGTTCGTCTAATTGATTAGAGATTAGGTGAAACTTCGATGACAAGAAGTGACGTTTCAGTTGCCGTAATCGAAATCATTCGTCCGAACATTCAGCTATATTAAAACTTGGTTGCAACAATTGAGAACAATTGAGAACTGGCAAATAAACCTACTCAAAAGATACACTCCGATTTTTTTCTAATTTGGCACAAATGTAGAAGTACAAAAAATATTTAGATCATATTTTTTTCATTTTGGTCCACTTTGAGTTTTACGGACAATTTATAGATTTTTAATGTTTTTACTCCTATTATCAACAACAAAAATGCATAAGAAATAAAATTGAGAATAAGATACAAGATATAGTTAAATAATTTTAACAAAATCGGCATAGCAGAGACACGAACTATTCTAAATTTCTTTAGTCGAGATTCCAACCGAAATATTTCAAATCTGCTAAATTAGTCAAAAATGGTTCGAATCTCAGCCAAGCCGAGAAATTATTTGTATAAAAAATTTTTTTGAACTTTTTACATGTTTTGTTTAAACATTTTATTATTTATACGAATAATTTTACACATTTGACTTCATATTCATAATCAGCAAATCAACAACGCTTATATCTTGTACTCAATTTTATTTCTTATGCATTTTTGTTGCACTTGATGATAGAAGTGAGAACATTAAAAAGTTATAAACTGCCCATGACACTCAAAGTGAGCCAAAATGAAAAAATATGACCTAAATATTTTTTGTACTTCTACATTTATGCTAAATTGGAAAGAAATCGGAGTATAACTTTTGGGTAGGTTTACTTGTGAGTAGAAATCTGCTACTCTCTATGTCTACAAACCAAGTTTTCCATCTAGCCTCTATTCTTCCCAGACTAGGATAGATCAGAATAGTCTTAACGCATAAAGTTATTATATTCTAAAACTTTTTATACAAAATCCACGTTACGTTCTAGAATAATTCACGATCAGATAAATTCTAGGTTCTAGTTTATGTGTTAAAAAGTCGTACTGAAGGAAAAGATATATTTAAGAGATAGTAAATATTTGTGTTCGGTAACTAATAACATATTTAATTACGCTAATATAAAATATTTTTCAAAAATATGAAAATATATATTTTCCTATAAGCTTAGGAAAATTTTAGCTTTTCACGGGAAGCAACTGTTTATTCTATTTAAATAAAAGAAATTTAGATTTAAATATAATTATATAATACGTCATTTGTACTCTCAGGAAAGAAAAAGATTTGCTATCTTTTGGACATTTTCTCTCTCGGCGTATGACGACCTGCGCACACATATTTCACTATAGATACATTGGATGAGCCTTTGCACCTTTTGACGTTTTAAACATCATCATCCGGTGACTACGTTACGACGCGAGTGCGAGCGGTCGGTGACGTATCGATTACTGTCCAGGTCGGACGTATTCCCGACGTCGATGTACATTTCGTTACACGCGAGCCGCGAAAGAATTCGGGCTGCCTTGAAACCGGATTGTTTTCCGGGACGACTCTCTTACACCGCGCGCACACGCATCTTTACGATCCTCCGCGCTTTTACGACTCCTACCTTACACGCCAGAGAGGCTTGATATAATCTTCGAGGATAACAGCGGCGAGGGAATTAACCGTGGCCGAGATGGTGCTGAGTCCGGCACTGAAGATTCCGGCTACGAAGAGCCCAGGCACACCGGGATAGCCCGACAGCGTGTCCATCACGTACAACGGCATCAATTGATCGTTCGAGCTGATCCTGCCCGCCTCGAGCGGATCGCAGCTACGATATTTCGAGTATATCGCCAGGCCGGAGAAGCACAGGGTGAGCGACATGATCGACGCCATCGGCCAGCTCCACCATAGCGCGTGCTGGGCGGCTTTCAGATTTCTAGCGGAAATTGAAGAGGAGGGTCGCCTTGAGTACGTACGTTCACCAGCCGAAAATCTCGACACGATTGATCGCGAGCGTCGACCTTAGCGACAACTTGTCGAGGTATTCCGAGAAATGTTCCTCAATGATTTCGCGCTTCGTGCGCGTAACGGTAACGCGCTCTCGAGCGGCGCTATAATAATGATTTTTTCGGCCCGATTGACTCGTGCCCGATCGGAAATTAGTCCAGTTTGCTTTACCTGACGGTCAGCATTCGCTGAATCTGAACTTGATTAACGCCGTATAAGGAAAGGTAAGTGAAGAAACCGCCGAGTGTCAGACTCCACCAGGTGTGCCGTACAGTTGGATCCGGAGAGATGCTGCGGACACACGCGTTGAAAAAGTTGAGCCAGCCGAGTGTCATTTTTACGTTCGTTGACGGCTTCATTTCGTTCGTTTCGTTGTGAGATCGCGACGAGAGCGTTCGATGAAACAGAAAGAAAGAGAGAGAGAGAGAGAGAATGTTTATTTTGTCTTTTCTGCCTAGGATGAAAACGAGTCTATTTAGGAGACTCTTAGTACGATTTATTTCGCGCCCAAGAAATTAATCGAGGCGAGATTTTCTTCATTGATTTTTTAAGGCTCCAGATCTCGATTTTATTCGGGTAAACTGTTTTTTTTTTTCATAAAATAGTGTTAAAAGACATGCCCGATAGAAAAATAAGTATTACAGGAAACAAAGGAATTTGGTTAAATTAACCAAATATCTGGTAAATATACCAAAAATTCCGATTAAAGTTATCAGAATCCTGTTGAAAAGTTAACAAGAATTCTGGTTCCAGAATTCCATCATTTCTTTATTCTGACACCAGCATTCTGTGTTCAAGTTAACAAGATTCTGGCTAACCAAACGAGACTTTTGATTAACCAGAACTTGAAACTATTCAACTTGAATACAGTGTGTATATACTTTACTGTGTCAATCAAAGTTTGATTTTATCATGAATTGATTAATAATTAACTTTACCAATTTTATCAATTTAACAGAATTATTCGTGGTTACGTATAAGACGATTGATTAATTTTGCTGATTGATTTGCTGATTATTTCAGTGAAATAAAATTCTCCTCGATCGATACCCAACGCTAGACGGATTTCGCAAGATCAATGTAGAATCAAAATTTCAACTCGAGTATCCACGTCAATCTCCTTAGAACTATTTTCGTTTTTACTGGATTTAATTTGATTCTGTTCATATCGAATTTCAACACTCTTGGAATTATTTCCTTTCTCTACGCTCTTTACCAAGTCAAATTTGACCTTACTAAACTGAGAGAGAGAGAGACAGAAAGAGAAAGGAGAGAGAGAGAGAGAGAGAGAGAGAGAGAGAGAGAGAGAGAGAAGTCTAGACGCAT